CCATCTTTTTCAAACGCAAACGCCAAAAGCTTCCTTTACTTGAATAAACCGCATTTTGAAGGACACTGGAAGCAAGAAAGCAAACCGTTTCTGGGATGTTTTGGCGATTTCGTTCGAGACTCAAATTGTTTCGATGCCTTACGTTGTGGTTGTAATTCTGGCTGCGGACCTGATTCTTGATAAAACTGCGTTTGCGGTCGCGGCGGTTGTTTCGGCGATTGAGGCAGTAGATACTCTGGTCTTCGCTTTTGCGAAACTTTCCCACTGATTTCCATAACCGGCGATTTGGCACTTCCATCTTCTTTCAATCTGTTGCATAAATTTCAAAGTTAGGTCAACTTAATGGTTTCTTACACCGCAAGAAAATATCGATAAGTCAGAGAACGGCTTACACTGGGAATGCGAAAGAGCTAATGCTGTTATTGCTCGTGTCCGAACGAAAAGAAATGCTCGGGGAATGTGATAGTATACCGTGCGAATCTTCTTGTTTATTCTCCTTCACATATTCAACTATTTCCTTCTCTTCTTGTTTCTCTGTTTTAACTTCAACTAAAACCCTAGCTTCGATCATATCTTTTTCTTTTTCATGTTCATCGTCGCTCTCGAGCTCAGTCATCAGTTCTTCGATTATTTTATCATCAATCTCAGAGTGTGATTTTTCCTCTTGGTCTGGTTTCTTCTCTTTCTCAGATTCTTTTGGTTTAGTATCAATCAAAGGAAGAGGAACCGGTTTGATTTCGGTTATCTCACGAACCGTTTCTTCAAATCTCGGTATCTCACCCAATCTAACCGTTGTAGTTGAAATGGTGAAATTCACATCATGGATGCTAAACAAGGATTCATTAGAAGCGATACTCCATTCCGCAGAATTACCGGCTTTATTAGAGAAAACCGAAGATGGAATCCGGTTTGGATCGTAACCGGGTAAATCAGCAATGTGGTTCTGGTGAACCGAGGACCATGAAGAACTTGTATAAGAGCTCACGGAGGAACTATAAGCCTGATGTGCCTCTCTCTGTTTCTGTGCCTCAGAAGCAGACAATGGTGGCTTGGGAAGAGGAAAATGTCTGATATCAAAATGTCCATCTGATTCATCAGATGTTATTGATGAAGATCTTGAAGATGAAGATAAAGAACTCGGATTCTTCCATTGTTGTTGTTGTTCTTTGCTTTCAGTTTTCGTTTCCATTTGTCTCTGTTTCGAAAGAAACAGAGCAGGCTCTGTTTTTGTCTGATTGTATTAATCGGAGAGAAGAAGTTTGTTTTTATTTATACGATGTAACCAAAAAAAAAACAAGAGTAACAAAAATGTTTGTTTTTTTGTTAGCTGGGAATGTTATTTATCTAAGAGGGAACGGTTTAGGGACTAAACTAAGGGATTAGTTTCAATTCAACGAGATTAACACTAAACTTAAATGTAATTGTAGTGAAATGTGTTGTCCAAGATAAAACAATCAAACTTTATTCTGTTTATACTCGCCACTATTTTTAGAAGGAAAATACAGTACACAAAATGAAGAATTGCAGCTAACTACAGTTGTTAAATAATCTGTAAACTTTTAATTAGTTTTTGGGCAAAATAAGACAAAATTATATATCAATTTATTCCTTAAAACTTCATTTTAACAAAACAGAAGGTAACAACTAACAACAATACATGCAAACATTTATTTGGTTTTCAAGTCATAAATCTGTAATCCCTAATGTCTTCAGCAACCGACGGAAGATAAACCGGATTCCGGTTTGCGTTGATCTTGAATCTGAAACAATTTATTTGAATGGCAAAAAGTTAATAAACTTCAAAATCAAATACGGATAAATTGGGAAACCGGTTTGGTACAATGAAATGGACCTTGGTTAGGTTAAAGCTAGGTGGAATAAGAGAACCGGAAGCTTTTCTGTTCCTCGCGAGAAGACCTTTAGTTACCGGAGACATCATTGCATCAGTTGGGCTTCTGTACCTGCGAAAATTTGAATGAAATTTACAAAAGTTATGTCTTTGTACCGATCGGTCTGGTTTGGAACCGGTTATTTCACCAAATCAAATTTACCTCTCTGGGTACTTGAGAGCTACAGGGACTCTAAGACGATCCGGAGTACCGATTTTCTTCATTGGCTCGTCGGTGGAGGCTTTAGGAGGAGATTCATGACTCGGGTCGCTTTCCGTGAGCGGCCGAGGCGGCGATTCAGAGCTTAAATCGGCGTTTTTGCGGTGGTCGGATTCGAGATTCGATTGTTGCGACTCCATTAGAGATAAAATTGGGTGGTACGAAGGAATTTGGGTGTAAGTTTGATTTATGTATGTAAAATGGGTGAGAATATTACCGTTAGTGGACATTTGGGGTTACAACGGTCGGATTTATGTACACTTGTTTCCTACTACTGATTAGTGACCGTTTAGAAAACAAATGTAAAAGGAATTGTGAAAATGTAATTCAGTATACAAATCAGATTTTTTCCTAAATATATTATGAAATTTGGTTTACCACTTTACTTTTTAGAAGATTTTTCCCTTATAAGTAAACACAAATACACAATTCGGTCCAAAAAGAAATGGTTTTGAACCTTTTGGGCTAAATAAAAGTCATGTAAAACTTTGAATATTAATGAAAAAAAACTTCAAATATCCTTTTTCTTGTCTTAAATAGTTAAGTACACTAAAATTTCAGACTGAATAATGGAAGAGATGAAAAATTTTAAATCAAAAATTTCCCAATACAATTTTTGGCCTTTAACAAATATGAGAGAAATAATACTACATTGGTTTTTCAATGGGCCAGGCCCAATAGAGATGTTTGCGGCCGAGAAGATAACACAGAGAGAGTGTTGGTTGAAGGAACAGCGACGTATGATTGGACGGTGACATAAGCGACTGTAAACGGCACGTGAGGTTAGCAGAGATTCACCGCATCGTGTCCTTAAAAACGTCGTCACAAAGAGAGAAGAAGGTAGAAGAAAAGACTGACACAAAACTCTGAATCTGTTGGACAAAATATGCGTAAGCAAAGTTTTCTTTCTTGATTTGACATTATCACTATTCGACCTCACTCCTTTACTCTCATCATTTCATTTTTGTTTTAAAAAAAAAACTTTCGTAAAAAAAAACGCAATCCTAATTTATAAGTATATTTAAAGGATAGAGATACGAAAAGTGTCATTATTATGTAGCTCATTTGCCCAACTACTACTCCTGTGCTTCTTTAAATATATAACCATCAATTTTACTTTAAAATCA